TCTTTTGCTTTGGTTTCATTATTTTGACAAACTAATTGCATTCTCATTTGTGGTAATTCTTTAGTGTGTCAAAATTATACAGTGAGAAAACTCAAAATGATGAAACTGAAGGCCCCTCATCTTACCAAAACATAAGTTCCAATACAACTGTCAGCAAAACAGTTCTTCTACACTGAGTCTGATTTAACCAAAAAAACGTTTTCCTGACAGAAAACACGCAGTCTGATGATACTCAGAGAGCTCTTATAATTTCTTCAGATGATGCGTAGGCAAGACTTTGTTCAGAAGGCATGCAGCTAATTCTCAACAGTGCTTTGCAGTCCAATACAACCCTTAAGCATAACCAGGCTCCAGCTCCCTCTGTAGCCACTGCAAGTAGCTCCAGCAGGATGCAGAAGAGGAACTCAGTCTGGAATTCTGCTCAATACTGAACACAAGCTGGCCATGGAGCACACTGAAACTGATAGGAATACATTGTTTATTGAAAACTGCTCATCAGTGGTGCTATAAGGAGTAAGCAGGGCAACTTCAGCAGAATGTACAACATATTAAAATTGCAGACAGATTCTGCTATACCAGGGCAAAAAAAAAAAAAAAAAAAAAAAAAGAGCAAGAGATCAGAATATGTGGATAATACCAATGGACAACACTCAGAACAAAACTCACAAAACACTGTCCAGAGGTAGGTCTTCTTTGAGTATCTCTCTGAAGCAGTTTTGTATTTGCATAGTTAATCACAACTTGTACAAATCTGACAGATATTATACTTAGAATACAAAAATAAATTACATCAGAAACAAGATTTGAGTACCTACCAGTACCTAATTAATTCTGCTATGCCTAAAACCAGACAGATACAACATTTCCCTTTTGAATCCTGCTCTTTCTAGATTTCTGTTCTATTTTCTTGCTGGATTCTAATCTTTCAGACATTACTTCATATTTAATTTCGCTGTTCTTTATATCTTACTGTTTTTTTCCTCTCTGCTGCTTCAGTTCGGCTGTTATCCCCACTCCATGTCCAACTGCACATACAGAAATATCAAGCTCTATCAGTTCCCCCTGCTTACTCAAAGCTCCATTATAGCACATACCAGGACTTTCACACACTGCTGCTCAGCACTGAATCGGGTGTTAATGAAAGGGCAAACAGCTCTTTGCTGCTTCATATGGTGGATCTCGATGCTGGAAGTCAAACTCCTTTCAGAAGCAGATCTGCCACAGGCTTCAAAAAGGAGATCTGCACGTGTGGGCAGAGGAGAATATTGGAGTCAAGATCTACCCATGCAGATCTAAAGATAATTTTCATTAGCTAGACGTCAGTCAAACAGACGTTTAAAAAGTTGACACAGACAATTCAACTTGGTTGGGAATTTTAAACATGAACAGCAAGGTGGTCTGCAGCCTAGAAAACTGTCATAAAACCTAGTTACCAAGAGGGCCATTTCATTCTTTACATAATGTTTCACATTTAAACACTCAATGCCCATTAGAGAGAAATATCCATATTCACGTAAGGATCTCAGTTGCCACCACTAGCCACTTCCCAAATTTAGTCTGAAACTGACTTTAACCTAAAGAGATGAAACATAAGCTGACTGCAGTGCCCTATAAAAGCTGGATCTTGGTCATGATACTACAGCCATTTTGCCAATGGCGACTTTGCTCCCCATCAGAGAAAATGCATGTTAACATCAGAAATTAAGAAATATCCTGATTAGAGGCATCACGTCTACATCCCTTCTGCCATGCTGTGGAACACTCATTCCAGCAGGGGACTCCACTTGACCAGCAGAAGGTAGTAGCAAGTTGCTAATATATAATTAACATGCAACAACAATTAATTAGTCAGCATCTGACCAATAACCATGACATTCAGCTGCTTTTGCCTGCCTCACAACACAGAAACATTTGCAACTCCCACAGACAGCTATTAATTCAAATATACCCTACTTCCCTCAGCAAGTGCAGAGCACCAAAGGCCAAAAGGAGCATTCCAATCTGTTGCACAGTGCAGTATGAAGCAACATTTCCAGACACCCCAGCATGCACAGCATGCTGGAAATTAGACCCAAACCCTACCTCTGCAGACAGCAAGTCATAAACATTCAACTCAGATATTCCAAAATGCACCCAAATACACAGTCATCTTCATTTTTAAATGACCCCTGTTAGTTTGTACGTAGTGACTTTGTATTTAGAACCTGTACAGCTGTACACTAGAAACTTCAGAGTTATGACTGACTGAGGTATGGCTGGTTAAGGAATGTTTTCAAATCCATTGCTTAATTGCTCCCTGTACATTAACTTATTAACAGAGGCCTGTTTATTGACTCTGCTTTGTGCCAAGTGCTTACAACAGCTACTCTAGAGTCCCCAGTGGAATCTCTCCATACACATACTGCAGGTAACAATTCCTGCTGATGCAGCATCATGCTGTTCTTCCAGCTGTTCTGGTGCCAGCCAGAGAAATAGGGTCAGCATTGGTATCTTATTTGTTTCCTGATGCTTGGCTTGCATCCTCCTTCCCTCTAGAGAGAGCATTGTTCACAAAAGCACTTTATTTTTATTGCTCCTGTTAAGCTCTTTTTGCTCTTCAGCAGAGGCTGCTCAGCCTAGCAAAACCCAGAGTGCAGGCTCTCCAGTGGAAGCAGTATTTGGGTTTGAGAAACATGTCTCCTGCCTTTGCTTCTGCTGCTTTTGTACTTCTCATAAAAAATTCCACACCAATCTAACTCACACAACGCTTCTAAGAGCAGAGATCTTTCACTGCTGTGCCCCACTCATGTCCTAAAAAAATGTTAAGCCTCAAACAGCAGCAGGCAGAAGGAAATTGCTTGCTAGGTGGACTGCAGTCCTGCTCATTGACTTGTGCAATTATTCAAGAACGTCCTTGCTCTGAGCACGTGGATATGTGTCTTGATTCACTAGCTGTCAGAGACAATTCTGTTTCATGTCCCCTAAAAACATTACTAGATTTTGATTAAGGAAGGTCAAGGATGGCTTTTCCCTTCCAATACTGAGACTTGAGGGAAAAAAAAAAGAAAAGAAAAAGAAAAAGGTACTCATCACCTTTTATCTCCACTTGAAAAATCAAATTGCCTGAAATGACAGAAGCCATAGATAGCAGTACATACAAGAACGTTGCCATGCAAATAGGTTCCTGAAACTACAGCATGTAGGTTAAGTCCCCTAAAAAGTATTTTTACAGAACAAAGCAATGCTCAGGCAGCCAATTCTAGGACAATATCGATTTGCCAGAGCAATTTTAAATGTGTATTGTTACTGACCTAGCATATTGGAGACTTAAATTAATCCTTAATGCTTCAGTACATTCAAAAAAAAAAACCAAAACAAACAAAAACAAAAACAAAAAAACAACTTTCCCACTATTTGATTTGCCTTTGAAGGTAAGAATGTCAAGAGACATAATTAGCTCTAGCTGCAGACTCCAAATCTTCTGGCACCACTGTCAATAAAACACGTCCTCAGCCAGTGTGAAATTGGTATAGCTACACTGGATCTGCTACATGCAGCTGCAGTATTTCACACCAACTGAGGATCGAAGTATACATGTATAAATGAAGGAAGCATATGTTTTCATCTGGATTAATAATGCTGCAGAACACAGAGCATCTCAAGCTGAGTAAAACAAATGACAAGTTCATAAGAAATATATTCTTCTAATTGAGTTTAGGGCACTAAATAACTGCTGTCTTCTAACAGGGAATCAGATTCATGGAGGATATCTCCACATTAATTAGGAGCAAGACTGTCACATGGATTTTAATGAAATAAAGTTATGTCTGTGGCTTCTCTAGGATATTAAAGTCAATTTATCTGAGGAAGACACATAACAGCTGGCTTTTTCTTTTTGTAGGAATTGGAAGAACAGTTCATTGAGGAAGGTAAGCAGGAGTTAGCATTCAGAACAAGGTCTTATCTGCTAAGATTTTGATATTCTGAAAGCCTCAATCACCAAGATGGAATTATAGAAATCCAGCAGGCTGATAGAACAACAAATTATACCACCATCATGCTAGAGCAGTGCTCATGGCAGTGAGCATGATGCACAGACAGGACTTAGATCAGAATGCAGCCAAAACATTTTTCAGCTACAAGATCCCAATCATGCTGGCCTCAAATCATTTGGCCACACAGAAATATACTTGCCAGCACAGTATTAGACAACTACTGCTTTGCATCTGTGTTGCTAAACACAAGAGAACTTAAATCTAAATGAAAGGTTTTTAGCTGTCTTAGTCCAGAACACAAAGTTGGGAGGTAGTGTTGATCTGCCTGAGGGGAGAAAGGAACTACAGAGGGACCTGGATAGACTGGGCCAATGTTAACTGTATGAGTTTCAATAGGGCCAAGTGTCGGGCCCTGCAACCCCAGGCAACCCTACAGGCTTGGGGAGGAGTGGCTGGAAAGCTGCCTGATGGAAAGGGACCTCGGTG